AATTTAAAAAATATATGTAACAAAAATTCAATCATCTGTTTGTACTCACTCTAAGAAAAACATTGTTAACATTTTGGTATACCACTATCTCGTTTTGTTTTTATTTGATTTATTTGTTTTTATTGTTTCTTTCTGTTACAATGAACCACTGGTACTTTGAAATTATGTTTTGGCATTCAGACAGGCACAGCTTCGCCTTTTTCTTGTATTTAATGATAAATCTCCTTTATCTTATAACTATAGACCCCTCCATTGGCCTGGAAATTGTATTCGTTATATTCTTGGAGACTTTAAAACATTTTTAGAAATTACTATATTTCTGAGAAAAAAAAGTGGCAGCCTGGGTAGAGGGCATAGAGATAGCCCTCTGGTCTTGCTCATTCATATTCACCAAGTAAAATTATATGAGTTAGTCATCACACCAATCCTGGAGATAACCAGGTGAACATGATAGAAAATATTTCTTTGAACTCAAGAAGTTTACATTCCCCTGAAAAGGATATAATATCAAGACATAAATGACTTGTTTAAGTAATTATGATATGGAACTAAGCAAGGTGATATGAGAAGAACCTGGGGACGATGGTGGCCATGTTGTTCAATTATCAAGAAAGACCACTCATAGAAAGATGAGCCTGAAGCATAAGAAAAAGTCATCCAAGGACAAAAAAGAAGAAAATAGATTTCAGTTAGAAGGAGCTGCACCTAGTTGAATAACTGCCTTGTTAATACAAACTGGATTGACTGGTATGTGGCTAATCTGACAAAAGATGCAACTGAATAAAACAATAATAAAAATAATAGCTAAAAAAAAAAAAAGGAGCAGCACCTGCAAAGGTCCAAAAGTGTGAACTTGTTGTGTTAGAAGAACAGAATAATGTCTAGTCCAGTGTATGAAAAAAATGGGGAGGATGTCAAGTCAAATAGGATTTCATTGGCCATTATTAGAGTTCATTCTAAGAGCAACAGAAGGGCATTGCAGGGTATTCCACTGAAGAATCAGAAGATCACTCTTGGTGGATGATCTTGCATTTTAACTGGGAAAATTGAAGTAGTCAGAGGATAACACCCATAGACTCTGCTACCCTCTACCCACCCACCAGCATTGGCACCCACATAGTCTGCATTCCCTCCCATTACTATAAATTGTCTCCTTCCAAGTTCTACTCTTTCACTTTTGAACTAGATTCTCCTCTTTCACATATTGTTGGATAAAACTCCAACCATTTTTTTCTTTCATCCACTTCCAGTTTCTCCTCACTGCTGGGTCATCCCATTACAAACAACATAAATTTTTATCTCATTTAAATTACTTTCTCTCATTTAAATTATCTTTTCTTGATTCTACTCACCTTTTATCTATTGCTTCATTTATCTGTTTTACCACAAAAGTTTTTGAAAATATTCATTATGTTCACTGTCTCTAGTTCCTCTTCTATTTCATTATAAGCTCACTCACGTCTGGCTTTGGTGCCCACAAGTTCACTGAAACTTCAATTGTACAATTACTGATGACTGCCGTATTGCTATACCCGGTGGTCAATTTTTAGTTCTCATCTGATTTCACCTTTAACTCTTAAAAAATCACTTCATTTGACTTTCAAGATGCTCCAATCTCAATGTTTTCCTCATACCTTACTGCTTACTCTCTGTCTCCTTGGTTGATTGCTCCTTTACTCATTAGCCTCTTATGTTGGTATCCCAGGGTTTTGGTTCTTATACCTTTTCTTTTTTCTATCTACACTCACATCATTTGCACTCCTAGCCACTTGAAATACTGTCTGTATGATGATGACTTATCAAATGATATCTCAAGCCATTTACTTTACCTGTAATTCGAAACTTCTGTTCAAATATCCTGACAATCTCCTCTTGGTTAACTAACATAGCAAATGTGTAATTGACATTCATAATATTAATTCTTTATCTTCCCCTCCATGCCTTCCTCTACCAATAAAATGGTTACTTTATCCTTCCCTTTGCTCAGGTTAAAAGCCTTGGAGTCAACTCTGGCTCTTCTCTTTCATACTCTACCTACAGCGCACTGGGAAATCCTGTTAGCTTTCCCTTTAAAACGTATTTGAAATCCAACCATTTCTTACTTGATTATTATAGTCCTCCACTTACTTGGTATTACACATAGTCCTTCAGTGACATTTATTCTTATGCTCTTGCTCACCACCATCTATACATCATCTAGCAGCCAGGGTGATACTCATGAAGTCCATGTTTGATTGCATGACAGCTCTGTTCAAAATCCTTAGTAGCTTTCTAAATAGAACCTCTTAGATTAAAAAACAAAATTCTTGCAAAGACCTACACAGCCTGTGCAAAGTGGCCCTTCACTAAATTTCTAATATTATCCCTAACTTACTTCTTCCTGATTTATTCTGCTCCAGCCACCTCCTTGCTAGTCCTCAAGTGTGTCAGGCATGTCCCTCCTTCCTTTGCTGTGCTTGTTCCCTCTCCTGAAATGGTCCAACCCCAAAATTCCCACAGCTTTTATACTCACTCCCTTTCAGGTCTTTGCCCAAAATGTCACCTTCCCAATGAGATCTCTGCTGGCTCTTACCTATTAAGTTACCAGAACTTCTAATTCTCCTTCCTCTGTTCTGTGTTTTCTGCAGCCTTTTTCATGTAATGCAGCATGAACATCTTAAACTCTGTTACACATTCACTTTAAAGTCATGCTATCTTCTAAAATGCAACACCTCTCTTACCCACAAACTTCACAATACTTTGGATAATCTAGAGGTAAACCTAACTAGGAATGGAGGATTTGACAAGTTTAATATTTACCATTTCAATCTTGGCTCACTAGCCATTCCAGACCTCTCAAGCAACTTGACCCTTCTAAGTAAATTCACTTCCTTTCCTGACTCTGCCCTCCAGTACCAATTATTATAGAAATCGACATTTCCCAGTCCATGGAAGAATCAAAGCACAGATAAATCCTGAACTATTTGCTTCAGGAAGCTACTTCCATCTGAGGCAGATATTCTGTGTGGGTTTAAGACTTAGGTAATCACAGTCACCTTCAATGCATGGAGTTTACAGTGTAAAGGTAAGTGGGGCATTCTGTGATAAGCAGACTCTGTGATATGTGCTACTATGATAATGCATTCTTGACATACCTAAGTCCTAGCTTGAGATACCTAAGTTCCAGATATGCAAGTCTAAACCATGGAAACATATGCAAGCAAGTATGAGGCCTTTTTTGAATGGAGTAACTTCTTCACCACCTACAAACTGGGCAGCTAAATCCCTGCCATAGCAAAGTGGAATGAAATGGTGATATTCTTGGTTTTGCTCCTGCAACAGGACTTAGAGTCAAATCCCCAGCTTTTCCTTTTCAGGGACGACAAGAAATTCAGACAGATGAGAACAATGAAAGAGAAGAAAGGTTACCAGAGAGAGAAGATGAAGGGAAGAGGGGAATAGCAGATACAATTTGTTAGCATATAAACACATTATAAGTTTGGCCAAGATTGTCCCTGTTGGTAGTTTTGCTTTTCTCTCAGTAAATAGTAGTCTACTCTCTTGGTAGCATCTGATGACACTGCTCTAATGAGTTTTTAACTTCGTAAGTTTCCTAGAATGTTGGTCCAAATGAAGGCACCCCAGTTCTGTCTCAGTTGTGTACACATAGTACGACTGTTACTGCCATCTCTCAGCAGTCCTTGGCAATGCCACGTTGCTTCACCAGCAGCTTCAAAGTGTCCTTGAAGCATGTATTCTGACTACCCTGACTGGGAGTGCCCCATCTCATCTTGCAACCATTGCATCCCTGTAGGATAGAATTTGTAAAGAAAACAAGGTTTAATCAAAAGCTTTGAGAGTCTCTTCTTGTTGACAAATTTTGTTCTAAGGTAACTGTATGTACTGTATATTATTTTTTAAATCTCTCTTCTAGTGAGCTACATGTTTAACCAATTGATTACATTTTGCGTGAAAATCAAAGAGTTCTTTTCCCCAATTTACTTTTGTTATCAGTGCAATGCAAAATCTGTTTGCCTGAATTAGGTTGCGTTTCATTAATCTCTTCAACATGAAATTGTAATTGTTTATGGTTAATGAGATTTAAGAATGTGTTACTTATATTGTGACTAACTTATTTTTAAAATATTTCAGAAAATAATAATTGTTTCTAGTAGTGTTACAGTATTAATTACAGTATTGGTACACCTGACTGAACGTTAACCAAAGTTAGATTACCAAGTGTAATGAAGTGTTCAGGATATTTCAGAATTGAGTTAGTATATTACAGATTAGTTTAATCTAATACAAGAGAATGTGATATCCATTAGAAAGGCAGATAATATAAAATACCTGGGAAGTTCAGGGGAGGGGAAGATTCTTTTGGCCTAGGGCACTACTCTACTCTCATGGTCATATTTCAGACCTAGCTCATCTCATTCATTAATTACTCATTCATTCAGAGTCACATATTCAAAACCTACAATGTGCCAGGTATTGTGATACATACTAAGGATGCAAAATGAATATATTACCATTCCTGCTCTTAAGGTGTTTAGTGTATCAGATAGTCATGACGTAATGTTTTTAAGTGTTAAGCTAAAAGTATGTACAAAGAGAAAGAGAAGAGGCTAATAACTCCATCTTGTGCTGGGGTGACAGCAAGGAGTGTCACCCCAACAGTCATCTGCACTGCACCTCCACAATTTGAAGGTCAAATAATAGGTGGTGGACAGGAGAAGAAAGGAATCTGAGGAACAGAATTACAAACTCAAAGTCATTGTTACAAACTGTATTTGCATTTCAGAACCAACTCCTGTTGTCTTCAAATATGCTTTAAAATAATTTAAATATCTCATTTATTTTTAAACAGAGCCATTGAACTAAGACTAAACTTAGCAGATGATTTACCTGGTCACAGACATTCAAGAAAACAGTAAAATTGTTAAAATGAAAAAGTCAAAGCAAGAGTTTGATTGACACTTGTCTGTTTAAGTAAATTCTTGTTTCTTCCTACCCCGTAGATTTAGCAGTGTTTACACCCCACCAGTTTCTACTCAGTGCATGCACACATGTGGGCTGTACAAACAGTTCCTGGGTCCTACTGTACACAGCACAGCTGCCACCAGAACATGTCGATTCCCCAATTCTGACTGTCCTGGATTCTAGAACTATATATGTACAGTAAGTAGAAGTGTTGTCTCTCTCACATGCTGGTTCATGCAAGACTCCCAGTGAGTTCAATCAGGGGAGGAGCTTGTGACATAAAATTAATTTTATTGTGATTAAATGCATAGAAGTGATTAGTTCAGTGGATCTGGAAACCTTTGATTATCACTTGCCAGCCTAATTTCCATTTTGTCTTTATGCAATCAGGCTGAGCTACATAGGTATACAGATTCCATGCAAGCTTCAATAAAGGAAAAACCAACCACTTTCATGACTGCTTTGAACTTTTTATATACGGGGCATTATTTGTAATAATTTGGCATTAGAAAGTGTATATATATATTTTTAGTATAAACCAGGAACATCTTACTCCCTTATTCCTGCAGTTGATGTCAGAAAGGAGTTTCACATATAGGCATGTTCGGATGATTTCTGATATTAGGGATTCTTGTCCATTTCCTAATAAATGAGGTATAAGGTGTTCTATTGTGCTGAACTAAGATCTAATAGATCTCTCTCATCAAGGGTTACTACTTGTTCATATTTATCTCTCTTGGTCTCAGTTTTCTTATCTGTAAAATAAGAGTTTAGACTGAATGGATTATGACGTTCATTCAAGCTGAAATATATTATGATTCACATCTCATTGTTCCATGTCTAAATTCTCCTATTGGCTTTGTGTGTCCCTAAGCCAAGCCACATTACTTAGCCAAAAAAGATTCCCCACGACTCAAGTATTTCTCAGTTTAACAATTTACTCTCTGTTCTATGACTTGCCCTTCTCATTTCCACTGATATGTTGTAACTGTCATCTGAATGCCCTCTACCCTTCCTTCTACCTATCCAAATACAATCCATCTGTTTACAATAAAATCTTATGTATCTAGGTAATGCGTCACTTCAAGTCAAGAAATCCTGCCTGATTATTTTAGCCCTTCCAATCAGCAATTTCACTGTTTTCCATGATTACGTATTAACCCTATGTTGGATTCCTGTATTTTCCGAGGCAATTGTACTATGCCCTCTTTTCCCCATATCTGAATTCCCAGATGTTCTAGTTCTACAGTTTTTGTTCTACAGCTTAAATTCAATATAATACTCACTTAGACATTTTTGTATTATTAGCTAATTAAAATTACAAGTAACCAGAGGGCAGGAACCATATCATATTTTCTTTTTGCCCCTCAGGATTGGCATTGGATAACTACTTTAGTGTTTTATTTTAAATGAATCAGTTTTGAGGTTGGTGTTTTTTTAAAAAGTGTCAGCCGGGCGTGGTGGCTCAAGCCTGTAATCCCAGTACTTTGGGAGGCCGAGGCGGGTGGATCACGAGGTCAGGAGATCGAGACCATCCTGGTCAACATGGTGAAACCCCGTCTCTACTAAAAATACAAAAAAAAATTAGCTGGGCATGGTGGCGTGTGCCTGTAATCCCAGCTACTGAGAAGGCTGAGGCAGGAGAATTGCCTGAACCCAGGAGGCGGAGGTTGCGGTGAGCCGAGATCGCGCCATTGCACTCCAGCCTGGGTAACAAGAGTGAAACTCCGTCCCCAAAAAAAAAAAAAAAAAAAATGTCGCAAATCCAAGTTTATATGTGTCCTTTGAAAAATCCTGCATATATCAGTTTTGACTTGAATGAATGATAATAATGCTGTATTTTACCATTCCCAGGTGGAAACAACCAAGAAAAATAAGTGGGATTCTGGAACGCTATATATTATATATTTCAAATCAAACACATGATTTTACAATTTGGAGTGTCATTTATAACAGTACAGAACTTTTCCAGGATCATATGCTACAGTACCTTGTACCTGGTAGTAAATATCTCATCAAGCTGGGAGTAAGTTTATTTCCATCACTTTCTCTGTCCCCGTCCCTTGCACTTCTTATTCTATTCCCTTTGTCCCATCTTTTCTTTCTCTCTCACTTCAGAAAAAGCAAAAAATCAAAGGCTCATGCATTGTTATTTATGCTGAAAACTCACTTCCCCTCCTAAATGTGAATTCTGTTGATCTAATACCTACATATTTATTTTATTTTAGGCAAAATGATAGAATAACAGTCTGAGTCAGTAGATTTTCCCAAGTCAAAGTTGGGATTATCAGGATTTTTTAAATTACTTGCAGAACATCACAATTGTTAAGAACTATTTCTAAAGTGTTAGGATTAACAAGGTTATTCCCCTGTGGCATTTGTATTCATTTAAAAAAACAATGCACAGTATGAAAATTTAGATCTTATATTTGTAAATGGAAGTTTAAATGACCATCAAATATTCTTGATTATTATTACATTGTGGTTTACATTACGCTACTGTCTCAGAACAGTTATTTAATAAAACCCCAGAATCAGCATAGTTTAGAGGTTCCTTTAGACAGACAATAGCATTTTTTTTTAATGCAAAATAGCACTTTTACACAAAGGTCTTTTAAAAGACCTTGATATTACTGTGGAATTTATACTCAGTAGTTCCTTTTGTTTTTTGATGAAATATAATCTTTTTTAAGTTTAATAGCACATCTGAAAATAACTGAATATAAACATGAGATTGTCCCTATTTGTTTTAAACACACTCTTCATTTTATAGCAATACCTATATAAGGATATTTGCTTTGATAAATGCCATAGAAAATATTCTGCTCTTGATTATGAATAAATTTACATTTATGTAGACACTGTGTATGCATTCATTTTACTTAACATGCTCTTGAATGCTCTAAATATTATACCATGAGAAAATAAACTACATTCAACTATTGCTAACTGTCTGACTTGACACCATAAAACAAGGGCAATCAGACAGTGGTGAAAAATACCATTCAAAACTAACTCCATGTGCCTAGGTGTTCTGCACAGCAGAGTTTATGAAACAGCACTTCCGTTACTTACACTTTTATAACCCATTAAATAAGAAGTATACTAGCTAACTTGATTTTCAAATACTAATGGAGAAATACAAGGTATTTTCAAAATAGTGGTAATATCAAAATCAAGAAAATCTTAACTGTTTGGAAGCAACCAAAATTAAGAAATTGTGCTCTTGGTTTTTATGCGAAGTAGGCAAATGACATAAAACAGATTCTCTTCCTAGGGAAGTTTTTAGGATGTGCTGTGCAATCAGAATTCATATCAATCTCCTATATTTTATAAATCTGTAATACCTTGAAAATACATACTAGTAGATTAGAAGTCCTCTGCCCTGAGTATTAATTCAGATTTTGCTACTAACTGTGTGACCTAAGGCAAATTCACTTAACTTCACCGAGTTTTATTTTCTTCAAGTCTAAAATCAGAACATTGAACTAAATGATTTTTAATGTCTCTGACCCATAAAATTCTATGATGCTAAAAAAAGTAATCCCAAACAATATTCTATGGAGTCAAATGCTATCTGTCAGCCACTGAATAGTGTTGATGCAAGATGTCATAAAGATGTGAAAATCCTTGCCTTAACTCTTGGTAGGGAAATAAACTTGCTCACATTATTTTCAAGTTAACTGTATCTATTAGGGTAGAAAATAATATATTTTCAGGAAGGATTCAACTAACAGGTTTTTTACTTAACTCTGTTAAGCAGTAAATTAATTGAATCGGAACATTTTAGGTTCATCCTGGTTAATTGAGGGATTATTGTATATTTCACAGTTGCAATGTAATAACTGGCTTTCAAGGTCATTAGATTAGTAGATCGAGAGCAGGTTCTCAGCAAAGTGGAGTTGCCTTTATAGATCATTTTAGCATGTTGACTAAGGACTAGAAAACAAAACATAAAGATAACAAAGCCTTTAAGCAGCCTTTGGAATACAGAAAGAATCATGGGGGTTTGAACCACTGTGATTTACTCTAGGCTTGGAGCAGGTTTGTTACTTCATGTAACATCATTTAATTTTCACATTTGACTGGATTATGAGCTGCTGAAACATACAGACTGAATCTTTCAAAATTAGATCTGCAATTTCAAGCACAGTGCCTATTGGAAACTGGAAGCTGAGCAAACAATTCCTGAATGAATGACTACCAAGGACATCTTTTCATAAAGGTCGTGAGACTTTTATGATATGAATTAAATAATTTGCTTGGAAACATTGGAATTGGGAATTGTGTGGTTCCAAAACACATACTATTTCCACTGAAAAAAAAAATTAACACAGTATATTGCTACACTCAACAAAAGCTATTTTGAAGTGTGATAAAATGTGATAGCTTCTAATAAAGAAGACAATAAGTTAAAAATAAAGAAGTTATTAATACAGACAGCTATAAAAATAGGTGGTGTTTGATAATTTCCATACTACTGCTAGCCATCTGTATGGATGGAGTCTAAGTGTTATATATTCCTGGAAATGGTATGCTTAACTGTTTCAGTAATTATGGATCAAGTGGCCGTTTTCTTTATGCTTTAAAATATGCAGCACTCTTAACACCCCCAATTCCTATGTACCTGAAAACTTACTGGAAAAAAAGAGAATGCTAATTTTGGTCCAGTCACAGTGTCTTATATCTCTAATCTCAGCACTTTGGGAGGCCCAGGTGGGCAGATCACTTGAGGCCAGGAGATCCAGACCAGCCTGGCCAACATGCGAAATCCCATCTCTAATGAAAATACAAAAATTAGGTGGGCGTTGTGCTGCAAGCCTGTAATCCCAGCCACTTGGGAGGTGGAAGCATGAGAATCACTTGAACCCAAGAGGCAAAGGTTGCAGTGATCCGAGATGGGCCACTGCACTCCAGCCTGGGCAACACAGCAAGACTCCATCTCAACAACAACAAAAGAAGGGAATGCTAGTTTTGGACTGTTTTCATAGTCATGATTTCAAAAATGATTGATAGAGTTTTATTATGTATGCATTTTTATTGTACCAAAATTGAATCCCTTATTTGGTCAGATGTTACTCATCATTTCAAGGCAGAATTATGCCTTTATGAATTTTTCAAAATGGCTGTAATTGAGAAAAGCTATAGGAGATGGGTTGAAATAACTTATTTTAATGGCTCTCAGGCTTTCAAAGACCCTGCCATTTCATAAAGGTGTCTTTAATCAACCCCACCATTTTGTTTAGTTTTTCCAAACAGAATTTTAATCAGCATTCAGCTGTATTGAATGTAGTGGCCTCTGGTGTAGGCAGGTCAAACAAGATACTGATTGGTTCAATTTCATTTAGATGATGTCAGTTAGATTAGACCAATTGGAAGTGACTTTAAGAACATTTATTTTCTCTTCAAAGGAACTAAGATATTGTCTTGCTTACTTGGGATGCTCTAAAGCACCCCCCCAAAAAATGTGGGAAAAACAAAATAAAATAATTTGCAGCTAATTCTGTTATTTCAGCAGCCTCTTTATCAATAATTTCGTTTACAAGAAAAATTCTTTCATAAATGCCTTATATTCTTGAGAGCTTTTTTTTTTTTTTTTTTTTTTTTGAGATGGAGTTTCACTCTGGCTGCCCAGGCTGAAGTGCAATGGTATGATTTCAGCTCACTGCAGCCTCCATCTACCAGGTTCAAGCAGTTCTCCTGCCTTAGCCTCTCATGTCTCTGCACTTAACAGGCATGTACGACCATGCCTGGCTCATTTTGTATTTTTAGTAGAGATGGGGTTTCACCATATTGGTCAGGTTGGTTTTGAACCCCTGACCTCAGGTGGTCCACCTGCGTCGGCCTCCCAAAGTGCTGGGATTACAGGTGTGAGCCACTGCATCTGGCCTTCTTAAGAGATTTCATTGTCAGATTACTGGTTCATAGATCTCAGATGACATAGTACAAGAAACGGTCGTTCCAAACCAGGGAATGTTTTCATTTATTCTAGAAGACATCATAAAATCCTTAAAACAAAGTAAATTTTAATTCACACTGTTTAAAAAATGTAAGATTATATGTTGTATAGTATAGTATTTATTTGGGATAGTTAGCAGGGAAACTATTTTAGTACACAAATATGAAAAAAATAATGGCAAATAGACTATCAGAATTAAATCCCAGTGTGTTACAAGTTTAACAGCAAGAAGCTGAAACATTTTTCCCTTCTAAGGAAAAAAATCTGAAAAATGCAAATAGATGGATTTTTTTTTTCCTCCCTGAGAATTGGAAAGAATTTTTCCTTGACCATTTTTCCTCTGATAACTCAGCTGTCTCATATGGCCTCTTTTCTTGCTGTCTTTTCTGGTTGACTTTTAGCACATTTAAAATGTCTGGGGTCTTCTTTTTTTTTTTCTATTTTAATCATTAGGTAGTTATTTTTTGAGCTAACAGTGACCTGTCCTAAAGCTTTGAGTCAGAGTTTGGCCACCTTCTCAACTGACTTCCTCTTCATTTGCAAAGATTCCATTCTCAAGAGGAGTATGGTTTTTTTCTTGCATAGAAAGGCACACACCACAGCTGAGAATTAGAGGAAACACACAGAGGTTAATTAGGTACCCAATCGTGATGCAATTTCATGCCCAGGCCACAATTTAACCCATCTGAAACTTGCTTAAGCTGGTAAGAAATTATCCTGAAGACATTGGCTACTGCTATAGTCTTGTAATAGCAAGTGAGATTAATCTCCATGTTTGTTGACCATAAACTGTCGTTTATGCTTAAAATGAAGAATTTGCAACTAGTTACAACAACTTTGCAAATAGTAGTGTACTCCAATAGCTTAAAAAATCTAAAAATCAATCATTCTTTTTCTATCTTTGCAGAAAAGCATATTGACTGCTTTAAGAATCATGAAATCACTCCCTCAGTATCAAACTGAAAAATAAGAGGAGACATCTAAGCAAACAGATGCTTTAATTTTTTATCTTAGTAATATCTGCCCTACACAAAAATGAACTAAATAACCCTGCATTTTTACATTATCTTCTGATTTTGCTATATTTTCTTACTGATTTTGGTAAAATGTAGTGCTTTTTGAAATATTTTTAAACTTTGTTGTATAAGTTGAAATTGTAACTTGAAGAGATACTGAAGTAAGCTTAAGTGTAGTTTTCGAATATCATTGTTATATAAGGATATAATCACTAATATTTACTACCAAATATGGGCTAAAAACACTTTTATGTATGTATCAGTTTCCTGGAGAAGTGCTTGTCCAATAAGTTTAAAAAATTATATAGAGTTCATTATAAAAGCGGAAGTTTCTGAGTATCTTTAACATTCATGTTACCATTTCTGATGTTAACGATAATTAAGGAACAGAGAGTTCTGTGAACATGTTAAATTTGTCAGACATGTTTTAATGCAGCCTAACTACCCTCACACATAAGTAAATTATGTGATTCTTTAAGCCATTAAACATTCACTTAACTTCTTTATATTTATTGTTTTATGAGAAATATTGTTTTATTTAATTTTGTGTTATGCTATAAACATATTGGTCACACAACAATAAAAGGCATTGTATTTGCTGCACATCTTTTCTTCCTTAGAAATCAGTTGTTTTATCTTGAAGTAGTCTTCCTCTAATACTTCACTCATGTGTACACATGCCGTGTGTGTGTGTGTGTGTGTGTGTGTGTGTGTGTGTGTGTGTATTTAACTCACTCTAGGAACCCTTGTGCAGGCTAAATTCAGCAGGACTGTTTATCCAGTCAATATATGCCCTACATCTCTAGGTTCTAACTTCGGATGCTTCTTTAATTCATATATTCACACGGTATCGGTTATTCTCTAACTATTGGAGATGGCTATCTTATGTCTTAAAAAGCAAACTAACTAAATGTTAAATCTTAACACTGAAATGAATTAATTTTGGGGGAGTAAAGGTAGCACCGCATAACAAAATCTGAAACTTTTATTATGAATTATCTCTCTTCAGTGCTCATGAGAACTTTTTGGGACCAAGAGTGAAATGTGCATTTTTTGCATCTTTGTTTAGGCTTGCACAGGTGGTGGATGCACAGTGAGTGAAGCCAGTGAGGCCCTAACTGACGAGGACATACCTGAAGGCGTGCCAGCCCCCAAAGCCCACTCGTATTCACCTGACTCCTTTAATGTCTCCTGGACTGATCCTGAATATCCGAATGGTAAGTGAACTCTTTTAGCCTCAAGTTAAAAAGATGATTAGCAAAGGTAAATTAATATTCTAAATGGCAGCTTATATGTGGTGCTTAATTTTTAATGATCATTTTAGCACATAAAATACCTAAGATAGTATCATTGTCTGTAGTTGGGGAGATTGTGGTTTTTAGGCTAACGCACAATTTTGGTGGCTCAAAAGTGCTCCCTTTTGATAGTTCTTGTGTACTGCATCTTATTGTTTAATATGCTCCAGGAGAGGTGAAGAGAGCTAACAGGAAGGATTCCCAAAGAATGCTGTCGTGAGAATGACATTGTATTTTCAACGACTTTCTGTTTTTAAAAGCCATTAGTTCTTCCTCAGAGAAGGAGAGAGGTGGAAAGTTCATGTACATATTGTGTCAAAACGCTTTTGATTTAATAAGTTTATCTTAAAAGAGGCCACTTGAAATTCTGTATTTTTTAATATACTATTTATAAATATTTCAGCATGCAATTTTTAGACAATACATAGATTAAACATACATATATTTATACATACTTAGCTGGAGGCAAATTTTGTGCATTTCTAAGCAATATATCTGTTTTTGTACAGGTTAGTGAATTAAGCTAGTCAGTTACATTTCACTAAAATAAAACCTCATGAAGAATTTGTAATAGTTTTGGGTAGAAACTGCTTTTTTCATTTAGTGGAAATGTCTTTAAGATTCACATAACATAGTACCATTGTTTCGCACTGATGGAAGCTTACTTGACATTAAATTTCATTCCTCTTTGAGAGAAATATCAAGAAGCCTCTTAATATCATAGAAACTCTTTTAAGTAATTCATTGCTGAAAATTGAAATGGACTCTTTTAGCATAGCCAAGAAGAATGAAAGAGGAAAGTTACAGTTTTGTTAGTTTGTCTTATGTTTACTATGATATTAATTATTCCAGCCATCTTATTTTAATTAAACTTTTGGCAAATGCACTAGATATATTTGAGGTAATGGAGAGAATTCTAATAATTAGAGTGAGTTATTATCTCTGCTATTGAAGTTATTCCTGTACTATTACAAATTTCCTAAGAAAAAATAAATGGATGCCTATCTGATACTATATTAAGCAGTAAACAATCTTGTTACGCTTCTTACTCCACGAAGAACTCTAGTTCATAGGTGGCAATGAAAATGTTAATGATTTGTTTCAATTGGATTGCTGTGAAATGCTATTACATGATTTGCATAGTAGAACACTCCCCTTCATCCCAGTTGGTAAATGCAACTGGAACCACGACGGCACTCAAAATCTTCAGTTGTTCGGGGAAACATTTTCCACATTTCACAGATCTTTGAATTTTTTGTGTATTTCTCTGTGTTTTGTGTATTTGCAAGCATTTTAAAATGCACTCATCAAGCAAGAAGAATTTGGGAGATTTTGGAGACCTGTATTAACACTTCCATGGTATTCCAAAGTCTTGTGTTAAATCACAGTAGAATTTTTAGAATTTTAATTGTGGTACAGTGGTTAGACATTTAAAAGGTAGTTTTATTTTTTTAAAACTACCTTTTTTTTTTCCTACTACTTCTCCCCACTTTCCTCCAATTTTTTGGCCTTTTGTTTCTCTTGTCGATTGTCTAGAGAGGAATAATCTGAATGTTGGGAAGATCTTGTCTCTCCATCTGTCTTCAAAGCCCCCACGCTTCTCCTCAAATACCCAAAGAATGAAGTCCAAATTTTTTTAATCTGGCATTCAGGTTACTAACAGCTTGTAACTCAACCTGAATGCACATTGACTTGGATCATATCTTGCCTTCTAGCCACCCTGGTATATTTATGACTAAATGTTGGGTTGAAAAACATGGGAGTGTGGAGTCAAATAGGCCTAGAGTCAAAAATGGTTTCTGATGTATACTAACTGTGTTACCTTGGGAAATTGATTAACTTCCATGGACCCCAGTCTACCTGATTCAAAAATTGAGATTAGCAATCCCTATCATCACTCTGTCTTTACCTGTAGAAATCCAACTGATTCTTCTAGGCTAATTGTAGGCCTCTTATTCCATGAAATCATTTTACTCTTCCTTAAGTTTAAGGTAAACTTCCCCTTTTCTCTTGAATATATGACCTGTTTCTATGCCTTCATAATGGAACTTCATTCAGCCTGTGCTTAAAGTTATTTGGATGTATGTCAAACACTCCCACCAGGTGATAAGGACCATAAATCATAATTTCTCTTTCACTTTACAGAGCCTAACACAATGTTCTACTTTTTATTGGTACTCAATAATATTTAATTCATTTAATGTCTCTTGTGGAAATTACCTTTGAGACGTGTCATATATACTCCAAAGCCCTGGCTCCTTAATGCTATCAAGAGAGGTGATAGAAGTCCTTACCATCCAGTGCCTGCTACGTATTTGTTGGAAATAAATTTGTTCCTAAAATACATTTTTCTGGCTGTGTAGGTTCTGGGCCTGGGTTTTTCTTTTGGGAGTTTCAGTCTTGTATTTGACCCAAGAATTTTTAATTTTCTTTTCTGGATTATGTGCAATTCAAAGTTAACAGTACCAGGCCCATATGGCAATATATGCTACCTAATGGTTGCTTTCTAATTTCTGAATATGCTACAGAAGAGAAATACAATTGAAGAATAAGATAGACTTAATTCTTGTATTGCCAAAGAAACCCTTTCCGATTATGTTAAATGGTATTTCTCAAACTTATCCGATTCTTAGATCCATCGTTGGAGCACCAATTGAAGAAGTAGATTCTGGGCTCCACCACAGATCTCCTAAATAATCAGAATCTGCCACTGCCTTGGTAGTTATCATCAAAATACTGCTGGGTATTTAATACATTTTCCAACTGAGACATCTTACAAAGTCCTCCACCTGGATTTTTGTTACATCTTAAACTCAGCATATCCAAGTTGATTTCTCCTCAAGGTCTCTGTATGTCTACCTGCTCTTTCTCCGGTATTCCCTCTCTCACTGATTAGCACCACCCAGTTCTGCCAGCCAGGATCCTGGGCAGCACTCTTGACTTTAATCCTTGCTCACCCTTGGCTACTCACACCACAGAACCCCTCAAATGCACTTCTCTAGTGAAGGCCACTAATATTGCTCACCCAGATACCTTCAGGAGCCTTCTTATGCCCTGCAAAGAATTTACATTTGTTCATTCACAATAGATATTTTGATGACCTACTAGGTTCCGTCACTCTTATATATACAGTGAATTTCCTTATTTCTTGATCTTAAGGATGTCAGAGTCCCTTGGGGAAAATATCCATATAAACAAATGCTCACAAGGCAGGAAGGTGCACAAGGTGCCAGGTATACGGAGAAGCAGCTCCTGGAGGTGCCCTATGAGATGTGGACATGTCATCCCTCTGCATCCTCATAAAGATGTTGCAGGACCAGAGATATACATGCGTGTAGTCTAAAATAGGTGCTAATTACCTGGTTTTGCACATTCAGGTTCCAAAACCTTGACTCTGTTAGTTATGTGTCTAAAGGGGTTTTTTTCACTAGGGATTTATAAACATGAACAAGGATTTGTTGAGAAAAATTAAACCCACTTTCTATAGTGAGAACTAGGTATATTTGTATGCATGCCTATATATGACAAAATATGAAAGGTATAAAAAGTTCTGATATAAATGTCCAGTTCTTGCCAATCAAACAATTGGTAGCCTTTGGCTGGCATGGCTTAGGAAACATTTTCTGCTTTTCATAACTGATTCTGACTTAAACAATCAGCTCCTACTCATCAAAGTCTGATGATAATCCTTACCCAAAGTTTTAAGAAAATAACCTCCTCCCTTGTTATTTCAGTTCTCTTCTTTGTCTCCCAGCCTGGTCCTGCTCCACAGTATCTGTGCTGGGATGCTTGCTAATTGGTTCAGGATATACTTCATGAGCCCCCGGATAACTTTTCCCAATTCGGTCTCTTTTGTTCAGTACTGTGCCAGCAGCTCCAAGAATAGTGCCTGTCACATAATAATTGCTCAGTTAAAAATTTGTTGATTACCATTATTTAAAAAAAAAAAGCAGAAAACAACACATTTTGGAAAGGATGTGGTGAAATTGGAACCCTCAAGTACTGTTGGTGGGAATATTAAATGATACATCTGCTATGAAAAATAGTGCAAAGGTTCCTCAAAAAAATAAAAATAGAATTATTATATAATATAGCAGTCCCACTTCTTGAAATATATCTGGATGAATTGGAAACAGATACACTGCAGCATTATTCACAATAGCTAAGAGGTGCAAACAACCCAAGTGTCTATAGACAGATAAATAAGCAAAATGTGTTGTATGTATGTATGTGTATATATATATATATATATATATATATATTAGAATATTTTTGAGCCTTAAAAGAAGGAAGTCCTGTCATACAATACAATGTGGATGAAACTTGAGAACATTAAGGTAAATGAAATAAGCCACTCACAAAAAGACAAATACTACATAATTGCACTTATGTGAGTTTATCTACGCTGCTTGAATGCGCAGAAATACAGAGTAGAATTACAGTTACCAGGGGCTGGGTGGAAGAGGGAAATGGAGAGTTCAGTGTGTTTAGAGTTTCAGTTTTCCAAGATGAAAAATTCTGCAAATATGTTGCACAACCATGCGTGTGTAGATAACATTATTGTACACTTAAAATGGTTAAGATGCCTAATTTTATGTTGTGTTTTTTACCATAATAATAAAATATGATATAGGGAGGATGTAATAAAATGCCCTAAACTTCTAAACTAGAAAAAAGATTAAGAACAGTGTTAATTTAAAGCAAACAAATTTGTTGATTAATAATCACATAAAGATATATACATCAAATATGCATTTATTAAACAAGGGTGAGATCATACAATTTGGGTTGTTGTGGAATTTACTTTTCTCACTTCACAATATGGTACAAACATCTTTCCTTGCAGTTCAGTGGAACGTGACCTCATTCTTTCGAAAGGCAATATATAATCCCACTGAATGAAACTGCAGTTTACCAGGCCC